CCCACTCTGTCTCTGTTGTGAATCCTCTCACCCTCCGCATCTCTGGCCTGTACCCCAGTTCTGTATGAATAAATAAATAAATCTTTTTTAAAAATCGTGCATTTTAGATTTCTTGGGGATGGGGGGAGGGTGGGACAATTAAGGTTTTGGTTAAGGATGACTAAGTTGTGAACAGTGCCCTAAGTTACTGGTGTTTCCATTTTTTAACTTGCTTTTGAAATACATACAACATATGATATGTATAAAGCAAGTGAAAAAAAAATTCAGGTTCAATAGAAACTTAGTGTCTCTTCGTTGTCTGTATCCTTTCCAAACTAAATCCCATTTGTAACATCTTGTATAAAGCTCATCTTGAATTGTTTTCTGTCATTCCCATTTGTTTATTTACCTCCTGCTGCTTCTGTTTGCAGTCTACTGAGAAGCTGTGTGTGCCTTCAGGACAAACTGTCATGAGTTATATTTGTTGTGTATGAGTACACAGTAAGTTGTCTTCAATTTTAATTTCCTGAAATAATTCTGTGTCCGTGATTGTGGGTAACATCCTCAAAACAATTCACACTCAGATATAAGCCAGAGATCTCCATACATTTCTATGCTGTTTTCAGAAGTGCTATGTTCAAAACCCCAAATATATTCAAGAAAGTACTATGCCTTTCAAAATAATTCATAGGTTTCTTCTAGAGTCAAGCTATTTTGGGCAAAATTTCCTGGTCTCCTTCCAGATTGGTGACATATGGCAGAGTTGGTTTCAGAGTTGATTTTGGTTTTATGTTTCCAGTCTCCTTCCTACTCTTGACATTCTTCTGAATGGAGTCAGATTTGAATGATTCAGAGACAGCCCACATTGTATTCCATCTGGGTTGTAACTACCATTCCAGTTTTGTTGTTCCAATTTTCCTTTTCTCACCATAAGCTTCAGCCAAATGTAACAACATACTAAAAGAGGATGTCATCATAGATTTTACAAACTAGACTAAATAGCCATTTCTTCTGAAAAGCAGTTAAAGTTGTGTACCGTTGGACACACTCTTGAGTCTAAGTCTTAGCTCTATTAAAAGCTAACCTTTACTGAATGTTTAGGACATGCCTTAGATGCAGCATTTCAATTCACTTCATAACATCTGTGAGTTGGCACTATTTTTATCCAGATTAATAATGGAAATGCAATGTTCAGAGAGATTAGGCTGTTCAGGAACCAACACAAGTTCCAAAACCTGCTCTCTTCACTTCCTCACTAGACTGAATTCAAGAAGAGATGATATATCCACTAGATGGTGCTAAACATCTTCTGCTAAGGACAAAGCTTTAAGAAGCTCTGTTGCCTTGGATGTGTGAATCAAAAAAAAATAAAACAATAACAACAACAACACCCTGTTTGTATCCTGTATATTTGAGTTGTGCTTGGGTACATCTTCAAATAGCCATCCAAAAAGGAAAACAGAAAATTAGATCTCAAAAAAAAATAGATTTTTAA